GATCCTTCTGCCTCAGCCTTCCGAGTAGCCGGAATTACAGGCGCGCACTACCACGCCTGGCTGATTTTTTGATTTATTGTAGAGATGCGGTCTCGCTGCCCAGGCGGGTCTCGAACCCGCGGGCTCAGGCAATCCACTCATCTCAGTCTCCCAAAGGCGCAGGATTACGGACTGAGCCACCGAGCCCGGCGCCACGTGCTCTTTGAGCCATGGCTGTGGCCATGCTTCCTGGCTTCGGCCTGCTCCCCCGCCTTGGGGAGGTGAATCTTCCCTTTCTTTCTCTCTCACTGATTTATATAAACTACATTTTTAAATAAACTACATTTTCTGCGGGGTTCAGTGGCTCAGCCTGTAATCCCGCACCTTGGGAGGCCAGGTGAGTGAATTGCCTGAGCTGAGCCCGCGAGTCTGAGACCCGTCTGGGGAACTTGGTGAGACCTCATCTCTACGATAAATCAAAAAAAATTATCCGGGCATGGTAGCACGCGCCTGTAGTTCCAGCTACTTGGAAGGCTGAGGCAGAAGGATCACTGGAGCTCAGCAGGTCAAGGCTGCGGTGGCCAGGAGGGTGCCACTGAGCTCCAGTCTGGGCGACAGAGTGAGACTCCAACTCAAAAATAAATAAATAAATAAACTACATTTTCTAATCTAATAAAAAAAATTTTTTTAAACGCCAATATTATTTCACCAGGTGTCACCTAAAATGCATGCAACTCACACATTAATCATGTAGCACATGTTTTTGCTTCAATGCTACCACGGAAATGAACATAGACTTACCTGTAGTAATGGCTCGGTGGAACTGATGCATGTCTTCCCCTGACAGCTCTTGTGCTACCTGTAATATCTTTTGTCTGACACCATCCAATTTAATTTCTGATTCAGTCAATATTTCTTCCATATCAGGAGCACTACAATCAAGATATGGGGAACTTTTAGAATATCATCCACACGCATTAATGGTGAAAAACTGAAATAATCTAAATACCAATGTAGGACAAAATGTTGTATGCACCTAGATACTTCTAGCTCAGCACTACAATTATATTGTATTAATCGTATGCAAAAACATGGAAAATGCTATATAACACACTATTAAGTGAAAATGGAGTATATAAAACTTATATGTATATGATCATAACTACAAGAAAAATGCCATTCATAAAAATATGACCTCTGAAGAAGTCTGCTTTCGTCAGGATGGAGTAACATGGACTGCATTTATCCTGTCACCTTAAACAACTAAAAAGAAAGGATAAATACATAAAACACTGGTTGCAGACATGGACTACGACAGCATGAGGCAGTGAGTTCTAAGAGAGGTGGGGAGGGATGGAGGGACAAGATACACCCTATGAGTGCCTCATCCTATTGCCAGGGTAGTTTCCACCTGACAGGGAGTGCAGGGACAAAGAGCCCAGGTGGAGCCTTGTCTGTTGGCCTGAGTAGAAAAGGAGTTGGAAGTTTAAAAGGGCCAAGTCAAGCCGGGCTCGGTGGCTCAGCCTGTAATCCCGCGGCTTTGGGAGGCTGAGGTGAGTGGATTGCCTGAGCCCGCGGGTTCGAGACCCGCCTGGGCAGCGAGACCTCATCTCTACAATAAATCAAAAAATCAGCCGGGCGTGGTAGTATATGCCTGTAATTCCGGCTACTTGGAAGGCTGAGGCGGAAGGATCGCCGGAGCCCAGCAGGCGAGGTTGGGGTGGCCGGGAGTGGCCACTGCACTCCAGTCTGGGCGACAGAGTGAGACTCCAACTCAAGAAAAAAAAAAAAGGGGCCAAGACAGCTAAAATCCACAGGTCAGAGTAACTGCAAAGAGAAAGCTACACAGAGCTTCAGAGAGCTACAGAAGAGACTTCCTTAAGTCTTCGCTGAGTGCTGATCAGGGAGGGCATGTGAGCAAACCACCTAAGGCTAGAAAAAGAATCACTCAAAGTGAGTAGGCAGAGCAATGCCTATAAATTAACCACAGAGCCAGAAACAGTTGATTCATCACCAGCAGACTGGCATTATAAAGAACATTAAAAGAAATTCTTTAGGCAAAAGGAAAATGATACCAGATGAAAATTTAAATCTATATACAAAAAATGAACACCAGAAATGTTAAATGTGGATAAACTGAATTTTTTTCTTATTTTTAAATTATAACAAAAAATAGTTGTAACATGAATTACAACAGCAGCATAAAAGGCCAGGCTAGTAGAGGAGAAACTGAGAAGGAAGGATCCTATTATAAGCTTCTTATACTACATGTGAAGAAGTATATACAAGTAGTCCCTACTTTGCATGATACTATGTATACTGAAATTTATGCCTATCAACACTGTGACCTCCATTTGCAAAGTAAATGTTACCGCAGAACCATGTACACAGGAGACATGTTCTTAGATGCACAGGTTTCAGTTAACACAGTATCATTCAAAGTAAGAAGAGCATGCCACTGCACTCCAGCCTGGGCAACAGAGTGGGACTCCAACTCAAAAAATATAAAAATTGTAAAGTCAAGCAACCCCTTTGGGTCTCCTCCCACTGTAGGAACTGTTTTATCCTCTCAATAAATCCTGCTTTCAAAAACAAACAAATTAATAAATAAGTCAGGCAAGAGAAAGAAAAGGTTGCTGGGCACAGTGAATCATGCCTGTAATAACAGCACTTTGGGAGGCCGAGGTATGGGGGATCACAATCCAGCCTGGGTGACAGAGTGGGAAGACTGTATTAAGGAAAGAATCAACAGTGTTCTAATTGATTAGGGACACTTTTTTAGTACCAACTGCAATTCCAATAGCAATCAATATTCAGCAATTAAAAGAAATAAAAACAGGCCGGGCTCGGTGGATCAGCCTGTAATCCCAGCACTTTGGGAGGCCGAGGTGAGTGGATTGCCTGAGCCCGCAGGTTTGAGACCCGCCTGGGCAACTTGGTGAGACCTCATCTCTACAATAAATCAAAAATTCGCCGGGCGTGGTAGCGCACCCCTGTAGTTCCAGCTACTTGGAAGACTGAGTAGAAGGATCGCCGGAGACCAGCAGGTTGAGGCTGCGGTGGCCGGGAGCAGCCACTGCACTCCAGTCTGGGCGACAGAGGGTGACTCAAAAAAAAAAAAAGAAGTAAAAACATAGGTTGAGTATCCCTTATTAAAAAAAATTTAAAGCCGGGCTCGGTGGCTCAGCCTGTAATCCCGCACCTTTGGGAGGCTGAGGTGAGTGGATTGCCTGAGACCGCGGGTTCGAGACCCGCCTGGGCAGC